GGGAGTGAGAGGGAGAGGGAGAGGGAGTGAGAGGGAGAGGGAAAGGGAGAGGGAGAGGGAGGGAGAGGGAGGGAGAGGGAGAGAGAGAGAGAGGGAGGGAAAGAGAAAGTGTACGCCCGCTTATCTCACCCCTATAGTATAAAAACCTTTGCTTTCTCTCGGCCCTTTTGACGTGAGAATGAGACCAAAGAAAAGAGGGTTTTCCAAATCGGGATACATTTTTAGTTTTACTTTCACTGCCGCACATAGATGCCCTGCTTTTGGGGGGTCAAACGGCAGTATTTTTTGCTGCAGATCACACAAATGACATGTAGCAACTAAAACTGCAGCAAATCAATTATTTTCAAGAAAATGCCAAACCTAACTGCAAAACATCAAATAATGGGTTAAAACAGTAGGCATGCCCCCCTGTAACCCCCCCTCACCCTCAGATTTTTTTACCCCCCCCCCCCGATTGGTTCAAAGCGTGGAAATAACTACACAATTAGACTTGATGTGACTGAGTTTGATTAAAAACCATCAACTATTTCAAAAACTACTAATTTGCAACGGAAATGAAGTAAATATTCCTGTTCATCGTATCAATACATATCAGAAAATGGACAACTAGCAGCTAAGTGTGAGACGGGAGGGAAAATAAAAGAATATCCAAATTTGATGTGTCTTGATTGCAGGTTTGCACTGTTTTCTACTTTCGATTGTTTTGGTTTTTTCTTTTTTTTTTCAAAGGACATAGCTAATGGGCATGGACAAAAGCCGGTGTTTAGCAAAGGCATCAGTCGGTTCGATGTGCGGCAGGGAAATCTGGGTGAGTAGATTATTGGGGGTTTTTGGGGTTTTTTTTAAAGCTGACACACTTGTTAAAAAATAGCTTATGTCACGTTAAAAATAGCTTATGTCACGTTAAAAAATAGCTTATGTCACGTTAAAAAATAGCTTATGTCACTGGTAATTTGAACAGTTAGACGACACCCATGGAAGGGAATGCCTTTACGTACTGAGCCTCAGATGAATTGAGAAATCTGCTCTGTGCTTCGCGCTTGCCTTGTCTGGGACAAATTTTGGAAGAGTTGTAAGACTGTTTTAGATGGGTCCTGATAATTTCAAAAGGGAAGTTAGTATTTCAAGCTCTTTTATCCATATTCATGTATCCGCTAGATTTACTGCCTTGTAAGGAATGATGTAATTGAAATTTATTTTTTAAAATGTATGTTTTTGCAGTTTCAAATAATTATATCAAGATGCCATTCATTGTAGTAGGCTATATGGTGTAACCTTTAAGCTACTTTCAGCATTTTGCAGGTCTTCAGATTTAGCAACCATTTTTTATCAAAGCAACGAGGTAAAGAGCCATGAATAGACAGAGCTTCAAACCAGGATCACCCGCTTTGTAGTCCAGCATGATAACTGAGCTTGTATGATCTGCTAACCCAATCTTTGGTGTAATAAAATTATGTTAGAGGTATTTCTTGTCTGTCTGTCTGTCTGTCTGTCTGTCTGTCTGTCTGTCTGTCTGTCTGTCTGTCCCCCCCTCTTTCTCCTTCCGCAGGTGGTTGATGGGAGCCTTGGTACTGTCTGCTCCTTCTACATACTTTCACTGTCTCTGTTATCCCAGACTTCATCGTGGTGTCCTTGTGGTATTATGGCCTTCACCACAGTGACTTTAACTCTACAAATCTACTTTCCCTCGCTAGTGTCTTTCTTTATAAAACGTCTGCTTTCCTTTCTTCCTTTCTGTGAGGTGAGTGATTGGTGGGCGTTTTGGTGAGGTTTGCTCCTTCTCTTTCCTATCAAATATCTATAGTCCGTATCTCTCCTTCTTTTCGTTGTATGTGAAGCTCTCGTAACACTTTTTTGTGTAAGTGTTTTGCGGCGCTCGCAACTGCATAAGGTCATATGAGCGCGCGGGACATATTTTGGCGGTTGATAGGAAATTTGGATTTTGCCCTGTTGGCGGCCGAAGCCCACTCTTATCGATTATAGAGCACCAAGGGCTCTCGTGGCCTAGAGGTTAAGGTTTTCACCTGCAACTCGCACACGGGACCTCCGAGATTTTCCGCCCTTGTCAGAGAAGGCTAGGTGTAGATCTTTCCTACCAGATGATCACGGGTGTGGCTGAAAGACAGCAGTAAGGAGCCAAGGTAGCAGTAAAAAAGGCTGCAGAAAGAGACAGAAGCCCAGAGGAGGGGGCAAAGGAGGCGAAAGCGTATGGGAAGAAATTGGAGACGAAAGCAGATGACAGAACATTTTAGAGAGCAGGAAAGAACGTGAAAGTAGACAAATTTAGAGAAGAAACTTGTTTTTTCCGTCACCACTCGGATTCGAACCCCGGACCTTTGAATGAGAGGTGAACACCTTATAACCTCTAGGCCACAAGAGCCCCCGTAACACTTCTAATCTTCAGTTCTCAATAGTATGACCAATGCTGCAAGTGCCGTAAAACTTTAACTAAATTAAGTTCTTCCTCTCTCCGTTTTTTGAATTTAATGGGGAAAACCTCTAGGTATATTTTTTTATGTAGTCAACATCTTCTAAAATAATTAAATGTTGCTTTTTAGCATACATTTTAATACCCTACGAATCACGGTATGTTGTGAAAGAACATTTTCTGCTTGTTCTATTAAAATCATTTGGTGGGTGGTTGGCTGGTGCTCTGGTATGATTTTCTCGTTCTTTTAGATCAAGCATCTATCGTCCTTATCTTTCCTTTTTGTGTTTGTTACTCACTTGGAACACCTAATCTGCGGAATTTACGATACCTCATTGTGTTGCAAGTGCCGTAAAACTCTTACTAAAACTTTTAAAAGGTGTTTGACATTCTTTCAGGTGATTGCTGGTTTGTGGCTGCAGTAGCGTGTCTGTGCAGTCGTCAAAAGTACAGGCCGCTGTTTGAGAGGGTGGTGGATCCTGATCAGAGCTTTCAGGATGACTGGTACTCTGGGATTTTCCGCTTCAACTTCTGGCGTTTTGGCCAGTGGAAACAAATCATTATAGATGATCTCCTGCCTACTGTAAGAGGAAACCTGATCTATGCCAATTCTCCGCAGAGTAATGAGTTCTGGCCTGCTCTTCTGGAAAAAGCCTATGCTAAGTATGTATGCTTTGGTATGGTACCTCTCTTTCGTCTAACGTAGCTTTTCATTTGCTGCACAGAGGGAACGTTTTTAAATACAACTGTATACATACATGGGACAGTTGGTTTTTTACTGGGGGGGTATGTTCAGGTTCCGTGAATTTGTGTTGAACTTGTTAATGAAAAAATTCTTTTGTCTGGACTTTTCTAATGTTGAATATTAATGTTGAACGTTAGTAGAATTTAATGGCACGTGCAGCCTGATGAATACTTGAAATTCACCACATGAGATGACTATTAAAATGAATGATCGAGAATGGAGATTGCTGGTTTGTGGCATACTGCTATGCTATTGGCCTCTGCAAGCATTTAGTTAATACTGTGTGTTACACAAAAAAGAAAGGGAGGTCAGGAAACGAATACGACTTCTAAAAAATTGTTTGTGTGTGAGGGGAATACACGTTTAACAAATTATAGAATATCACTCTAGTCACTGCAGTGCATTAAAAATTATGTGTCAGTGAGACAAAATATAAACTCTTACTTCAGCCCCCCCCCCTGATTTGATCATATTTGTTAAGAAAAGTTAAAAACACGGCCGCTTTTTACGGTATCCTTCCTTGTGGTACTAGCATTTACAGTAGGAGAGAGTAGGGAGAACTGGGGCGCAGGTAAACTGGGACAAGGCCGAAACCTGTATTTTTGTGGACCTTAATTACCCATGCCGTAAAGAATTTACTAATTAATTATTGTATAGCTCTTCCAGCTCTACCCTACAAAGTCTACTATGTAAACGGACTTTTGTTTTTCTTTTCTTCCTTTCATACTTCACACTTTGTGATTGTTGGTCTTAGTGGTTATTTTTGTCTGCAATAATTGTTTTGTCTTTGAAGGCTGTGGGTGTTATGTAAGTCCCCCCCCCCCTCCTTCCTATATTTTCTGCTGCTTGTTGTTTTTTTCCGACAACAGGGTACATGGATCTTATGAAGCTATCGAAGGAGGTTTACTTTTGGACTCGCTGACAGATCTGACTGGAGGCCTCACGGAATCCTACATGCTGCATGGTCCTGAAGCTGATGTCCCCGACGATATTGTCAACCTCATACTCAAAGCAATAGAGAGGCAGTCTATAATTGGCTGTAATATAATGGTGAGTCAAAGTGTCTTTCTTTTCTATCTTTATTTCTATCATGGTAAGTTATGTTCATTTTGTCCTCGTAAAAAGGTTTTCATTGATCTTTTTCGAATTGTTTTGTTTTTCCTTTGAAATTTCTTTCAAAGTCTCAGTGATTACGTTATGTCTAAGGTATTATCGTTGTCAGGTTGTCTTTTTCAGGTCGAAGAGATGTAGTCCTAAATGATTTAAAGTTTGACCTTTTTTAAGACCTTGAATTACTTCTTGAAAAAGAACATTGCGTATCTTGCTTTCTTCGGTGGTTTAGTCCGGTAGTTGACTCAATAGTGCCGTAAAACACCAACACCAAGTTCGAGAGTATTACAAATAAGATCCTAATCTTTTCATCTGCTTTCAACAACACCCAATGCTGCTTAAGGGAACAATATGTAAACAATCATTATAACTGCAACAAGTCATATTGGAGAAAGAAATGAGTAAAGGGGTTTTATGCTGGTAGTGCTAGATTATAATATCCAAAATGATTGGAAAATCAGTCTTTAGAGACAATTAAAAAAAAAACCTACTGGTTGACAGCTGGATGTGAATTTGAGGTTCTCATTATCTGACAGAATTCAGGAAGGGGGATCGAAGCACTCCGCGCCAATGGGCTGTTGGAGGGACATGCCTACAGTCTGACAAGCCTCAGGAAGGTGAGAGATTGTGTGTGTGTGTGGGTGTGTTAGAGAGAGAGAGAGAGAGAGAGAGAGAGAGAGAGAGAGAGAGAGAGAGAGAGAGAGAGAGAGACAGAGAGACAGAGAGACAGAGAGAGAGAGAGAAGGGGGGAGGGGGGAGACAAGACAGACAGACGGACAAACAAATAGCGAGGGAGGGAAGGTGGAGGAGACACATTTTAAAAGAGAAAAAAAGGGGGAGAGGGGGAGGAAACGACGGATCGACGGATGGTGATGCAATAAAAAGCAAGTCCCGAGTTGAGGCTCATATAGCCCCCCCCCCTCCCCAAAGAATGCACACCGTTATAACACTATCACACTTAAATCCTCTCTTCGCCCCTCCCCCCTTCCTCCAGCCACCCTACATACTGATATGGCTCCTGTTTTTAACATAAAGCACATACATGTATTTAGGGCTTAGCACTTCGCCCCCTCACTCACACACTCTCTCT